ATGGACTAACTTCTTTACCCGCATTCGCCCGTAATGTGGGAACCCTTGCTTATTTAACACTACACCCGGGCGCCGGTGTAGCGGCCCTTGCACACTTTTCACTGTATTCAGGCTATACAGCGCGTCGCTTCCAGGGGACGCCCTAGCACTTACACAATGATCAAAAGGATTCATGTCATGATTTTTTCGACAAGTTTTACGCTGGCTGTCGAACTACCTAACGCAACCCTCCACTTTTCTCATCCGGGCTTGGGACCGGTAACGGCAGTGTTAGATCAAGAAAATGAAAATACATAAAAAATGAATTAAACCTCTAAATCCAAAAAGGAAAGCATACTTCGGCGTTGCCCTAGATATAAGAGCCGATTGACTAGAGAGGAATCAAAGAAAGAAAGGAAAGAAGCAATACCTATGCGAGTCGAAGGAGAGAGTGCCAACAACGCCAACTGAAAAAGCAACGATGGGAGACCGCCGGTCGAAGGAGGAAGGAGCCGGGCGAGGGAAGAGAACAAAGTGCAAAGAAGAAAGAATTGAAGGAGCGGCTCGGTTTAAGACAAATGTTTAAAAAATATATTTTCGATAGAACACACATTTTCTGTTTGTTTGACTAGTTTATAAACACATATTATATGTTTAATAGCAAAATTAAAAAATAGATTAAAAACGGACAAAAAAATAATATTATTCTGTTTGTTTTTTGGTTTCTAAAATAAAAAAAACAAAAAACAAAAAAAAAATATTGATACCAAATAGCACCTAAGCTGTGAGGAAGAAGGCCAACCACTCTGCATTTCTATATTAATGTATATTTTTAACTATTTAGTACATGCCAAACCAAACATCCTAATGTGTCTTAGCAACCTCTCCCTCATCAGCCCCCGTCAAATGAAAGTTTTTTTAACACGCGAAGCAACAATCACCTAGAGCCCCTCATCCACATGGATTCGCCTTGAAAATCACTTGTGAACCTTCTTAACCATAGGAGAAGGTAGCCAAGGGCCATCGGAGGCCCAAAATAATGTTTTCTACTTGATCCAAGCCAATTCATTGGCTCTGAAATCATTTTGTTAGGGATTGTGAACTAAAGGGGGGTTCAAGTTGGGTCAAATACATTAATGATTCAACACTTTTCAATCCAAAAGCTTAAATTTAGGGGAGAAGTTGGATTAAATACATCAATGATCTAATATGGAGAGCAAGTCAACTACTATCATGAATGATATCTTTGACACATATATATCCATTTTGGTCATTATCATTTATTGTTTTTTAATCAGATTTGGATGGCTTGATCCAAGCCAATTCATTGACTCTGAAACCATTTTTGTCAGGGAATGCGAACTAAAGGGGGGATCGATGTTGGGTCAAATACATCAATGATTCAATGTCAATCCAAAAGCTTAAATTTAGGGGAGAAGTTGGATTAAATACATCAATGATCTAATATGGAGAACAAGTCAAATACTATCATGGACGATATGTTGACACATATATAACCAATTTGGTCACTATCAATTATTATTTTTTAATCAGATTTGGATTATACATATCTCATCCTTATAAATGATTAACATGCTAGCAATCTCCTAATCATAAATCCTATCCACCTAAATACTTGTATCTTTCATTAAATGGTGGTTGTACTTCCATACATTCCACTTAATTTCTATGTATTTATCTAACACCTAAACTTCAATTTTTACATATATATGCCACCTTATTTATGCATAAAAAAATGTATTTCACTTTTTGAAAAGTCAAAATAGTGATATGTTTTATTTGTTATGAAAGATTTGGATGGTTATAAATGTAAAAGGTAGAATTTAGTTGTTAGATATGCTAATACAGAGGAATTAGGAGGGGTGTATATAAAGGTCCCATATATATATATAGAATGTATAAGTTCAAACAATTAAAACTGTAGTGGATGAATTATTTTAATAGTAATATTAGCTTGTTTTTGTTCTTACTGCTGTCATTCTGCTTGCAGTTGTTTGATGGAAAGGAAGGGAAAGCAAAATATCCGCGGCGATGGGTGATACTTCCTCCATTTTTCTAAGCGGACTTAATCTGCTGGTTAATTAATTACCCACTTTTCTAAGAATGAACGTCTGTGTTGGTTATTCAGTTGCTGTATCTGCAAGAACAAACCATCCTTTTCTTTTTGCGTTACTATGTATTTTAGCAGGTCTAATCCTGCTAATTATCATATTTAATGAATCACGTAGCTGGCATGTCATGATTATTTGAATGAACCTTTGTTATTTTTAACGTCTGTATTGTTCTGTTCTAGATGACCAAAATTTTTAAGTTTCTTTCTTAATCCAATTTACCTTTATAAAGTCTCATAGAATGTTCCTCTATAATATTTCACATATTTAAATCACTTTATGCATAGAATTTATGCTGAGAATTAAAATGCTTTATACATATATATCTTAACATACACCGGCATGAACTTGAATCCATAGCATCGTGAGAAGGAAACTTCAATGACAAATGCTTCTTTAAGGAAATTAGATTCCACTATCCTTCGACAAGAGGTTCATTCACTAGGAATCCAATTAGAAAAGCAGAAAAAAATAAAACAAAATGAGTGGAGATAAATAATTCCTCATTAAAATTTCCATGGCAAAATTTCTTGCATAGTTTTTTGTCTATCATCAATACCATCCTGATCATCACCCTCCACTCCCTTCCTAGACCTTGTCGTTGCCCTCTTCGTCACCACCTGCCCACAGTTAAGAGGCCCTCATCTATTAACAATGGCAGCTAGACCTCTCAAACGGTAAGCAAGCCAAAATTCATCATTACAAAAGGATTGTTTCAATCTAAAGAATCAAGTAATAGCGCATTTCCATCTTCATCCAAGTCATATTATTGTTAAATCTGTTATGCCATTGACATGAAATATTTGGCAAAACATTTAACAGATTGAAAAGCAAAAGAGCCATTATTCTCATACTTCACAAATCAAAAAAGTTATAGTAATAAAATGAAAGCAAAAAATAAAAAAATAAAAAATAGACTTCACAAATTACTAAAATGATGAATGAAATGAAAATTTAGGTATACAAGATTTAAAAACTATATTGCTGCTGCTATAGATGTATATGTGTGTGCTATTAGAAGTATAAATTAGCTGATGAAGCTAAGCCTTTGTTCTTCCATGAATATACATTTGTTGAACTAACATAAGCGTGCATAATCAATCCTGGTACTCGAGCATTCAATCCCGAAAAGCTTGGGATAGCCAATCCTGGATAGCAATTTTCAAGGCATGATTTGGAGATAGATTTAAGTTTTCAAGTTCTAAATTAGTCATGGGTGAAGTATCACGACCATTTTTGAGCCACTCTCGGATAGCAGTCTCCTCATAGGTGAACCCATCCATCGCCACCACCGGCTCATACATAATTTCCTGCAGCACAACCCATATTACAGTATATCAAGCTCAGAAGTTTGGCTTTCTAACATACAGAATGCACATTTTTACCAAATCATCCAGTTATAAGATTGGGATTTTATGAAGATTTCTTATCACCTTGAGAATTGGGCACAAGAAGGAGGCGGGTACGGGCCTCTCCTGCTTCGGGTGCAGCAGCTCTAACTCTCTCACAGTTGCAGGTGTCAACTGCGGTCGGTTGCATCCCCGTATTTCAGTACACTTCAAACCAAATTCTGCAAGCTTTTCAGACACATTCTTGGGCCATTCCCCAGCAGTTATATCCAATAGATCTGACAACCGATGGGATAATACAGCCCTTTGCACCTCATTTACCACGCTCTGTGGGGGCCTTCCAGTGAGCAACTGAAGCGCAATAATGCCAAGGGAATATATATCTGATTTTGATGTCAGAATGCCAGTTCGTTGATATTCTGGATCAGTATAAGGAAGCTCTTCACAAAGATTTTTGGGTACTGAAGTTTGGCGGAGCAAGGGGTGCCTTGCTGCATTCTGATGAGCTACTAGCTCACAAAAACCAAATCCACCAATCCTGCAGCTTAAATTCGAATCAAGAAAGATGTTCATAGGCTTAAGGTCACCGTGAACGATCATTTCAGGACTTGATGAATGCAGGAATAGGAGCGCACAGGAGATTTCTGCTATAATTTGAACTCGGTTCATCCAAACTAACGGAGCCGATAGGGTTTTGCAGGCAATGCGATTATGGAGGTTTCCATTTGGTAGGAACTCGTAGACAAGAGTTGAGGCCACAGAGCATGCTCCTATAGGAGTCACCAGATTAGGGTGTCTCAATTTACTGAACACAAAAACCTGTGTTCAAATAAGAATTAAAAATGACTCTTTTTCTTACAAAATAAGAAAAAATGAATGCTTTTGACAGTGATGAAACATTGGCCGCAAGTACAATACTTTGCTTAGGTGGGGAGCTAAGAGAGGGAGAGACAGACCTCCTTTTGGAACTCCCGTTGGCCTTGAACACTATGATGGTGAAACTTCTTTATTGCCACACTTCTGTTCATCATTTCCCCTTTATATACACATCCATGTCCAACCTGTCCAATCAAGAAGTTATCTGAGAATCCAAAGGTTGCAGTTTCCAATTCTGACAGCAAAAACTCCTTCAAATCAAGAGAATCGCTTCCCAATCCAATAAACTTATTGCATATTTTAAATTTTTTGTGATTTTGGAGTCTCAATCTTCCAATCTGCTGAACATACTCATCTCTCTCATGTTGGATTTTCTGGTTTTCAAGCTTGAGCGCTGCTATGGAGGACATTACTGAATCAAATTGAGAAGTTGCCTCATCTTCATGATGAATTATTTCACGAACACAATCATCAAGGATAGCCAAATTTTTTGTCGCGCTTTGAAGTTCTTTTGTGATTTCTTCCTTTTGGTTCATAAGCACAATCTGTTCCAACTTAGTGGCTAATATGCGATCTTCTATTAATTTTATTTCTCGCATCTGTGAAGCTTCAGATGACGTTACCTTGTGACAGAATCAATAACTTGATCATATATTTAGAAAATTTTAAAATTTTTTCGAGTTAGATGAAGTTTGTGTTTATCATTTCTTTGCAGACAGTAGCACGTTGTACTAGACAAATATTAGAATATTCAGAGAAAACATAAATTACCAATTAGAAGTTGATGCACAAAGAATATATTACAACTAAAATATCCTATACATTACTCATCATGAATTCAAAATTTGAATGACATATCTCTACCTTATTAGCAAGCAGGAGGTCAAATAAATGTGAGAACAAAAGAATAAACCTTTTCCTATAACAGCATATTCAATTTTCATGCCCTTGCTTAAATCTACATAGACAACTTTCTGTGATCTCAGTTTCAGCAGTTATTTCTTTGAAATTTTTCTACTCTAATCTTCCAGCTCTGGGTATACCTTAAAATGTGGAATATAGAAGAACTATCACTAGCCAAATTTATAACCCCTAGCACATCATAAAATGATCAAAATTGTACCGTGAGGTTCGCTTTTGGTGGGCATTCATCTTTGCACAGTGAAGTCTCTCCAGCATTAAAGAATTGGGACAAGCTGCCCTCACCAAGCCTTTCCAGCTCCTTCGATCTATCATATTCTGTATCAGGCATGGGAACAGTGCTTTGACTCTCAGCCGTCCGACTAGTTTCACTAAAATCAATAGCCTCTCTGACAAAAACAAGCTTTCCTTCATGAACAAACCACATTTCACAGAAAGGAGCATTCTTTGTAGCATAAATAGGCTGACTGAACATGCTTTTCACCTTGAAGCACCTGGCTTTAATGTCAACCGGTGAGCATAGTGATCATACCGTTATCTAATATTCATAATACTCTAATCTTATTCTACTTTCTGAATGATTCATATGGAGAAAAGTAAAACCAGATGAGCCTGACAGAAGAGCAGCTTACTTATCTGGAGATGCTCCCATGATGAGTATTCTGATGGCATGCTTGTTAACCACGTCGATTATTCCTTTCTGAATATGCTCTGACTCGGCTAAAATAACTCTAGGTTGCACCTGCATGATAGAGCAGTTTTAGCTTGTCAGTCTTCTTGAAAGAAGTTTAAGAGGGCTTGTTAGTCTTAAGCAGGCGGCGGGCAATAGCCCAAGGAATCATGGAACTGCCTCATTGAATCTGAAAATTGATATTTTTACAGACTCTGGGATTAAAAGGTTCCATGTAAATAGTAGGGGGACTATTTTGATACTTTTCTCATTTATCTTGTAATTTGAAGCATCCATAGACTAGAGCTGATGCTGACAGTAATTTCTTCTATCCAATAGAATTGCTTAAGAATGTAAAAGAGTAAATGAGAGAGAAACCTGGGATCCATAACATATTCTCCGATAACATTGTAGCAATTTCTGTGTGTTTTTCCACTCTTCCAAACGATGTGCAGAAACCAAAACTTCATTTGCCTGATCAGCCGGAAGATTACCCACTGAAAAAAGGCATTTTTATCAGAAGTTCCTTGAATAAAAGTCAATTAAACATGCCGGTGATGGAAGAAGAATTTATTTGATTTTACCAGAAATATAAGATTTACTTAACCGAAGTTTTTAATCATTGTTAGAAAGAAATCTCTGCAACTCACAGAGCGTGGGGATCGTCGACGACGGCCGGTGAATATGAACAAGGACAATTTCCGGACACCGGAGCTGCCGAAACGTCCATTCGAGCAACCTTCGGGTTTTCTCCGGCGACCTCCCGACCGCCACATGCACCGTCTCCGACGAAGTTTCTCCGACGCATTCTGCCGCCGGCGAGGAGCGGAGCAGCTTCATTTGCTCCCGTAAAACAGAAGGTCGACAAGAGTGGAATAGGTTTCCAGCTCTGTCCAAGGCCGCTTCTCGTTTCTTCTTCTACTAGTTGGAAGAGCCGACAAAAGGATGAAAAAGGTGCGAATTTTCTTCATGGTGACCGGTGAGTGTCTCGCATGGATGACGTTGACTTCATTGACCATTATCTGCTGGCGGCTGGTGCTTCAAAAGCCACAAATTTCCTTAGATGCTGTGCTGTTTCCTTCGTTCAGTCTGAATGTGAGTGGCCGCTCTTGACAAAGGGAGGGAGCAATTACCACTAGGGCCGATAAAAAAAGCTAGTTGTTCACAAACAACTCGTGTTTTGCGTGTTAAGTAGCCCGTATTTGACTCGCTCGTTAAGTAAACGAGCCGAACACAAACAAGTTTTTAAAGCTCGAATTATAAACGAGTCGAGCATGAACAACGCTTTATTCGCTCGTGCTCGGCTCTTTTTAGCTCTTAATTAAAAAAAATATATATATATAATTATTAATATAATGATATATGTTATTTATATAATAATATATTATATATATTCATATCTAAGTTTAAATCATAGCATCTTGTATGGTAATGTGGTTAGTGTCTTCTTTTGTATATATTTGATCCAAGTTCGAGTCCCACACTCTGCATATATTTTTTTCAATTTAATTTTTCTGAGTCAATTTCGAGCCGAACACGAACACAAATATTTAAATAGTGTCAAACACAAACACACTGTTCATGAGCCGATTTTGAACACGAGCTACTTTGAACGAGCCGAACATGAGCCAAGCCTGAGCTAACTCAAGCTCGGCTCGTATACATCCCTAATATTACCAGGTTTGAAATATATGTCAGTGAATTTCGTTATATTTTAGTTTGTATTGATTAAATATGCGCAAAATTCAAATGGAAATACATCTGCCCAAAATTCACACCAAATTTTTTTTACATAGGAGGCATAGTAATTTCAATTTTGAAAGATGTGTGCTTTAACAAGCTTAAAAGCTGTGCTTATTGAACCACGTGTTGAAGCTCAAGCTCAAATTTGGGCTCATTTATTAAATGAGTTTGAGCTCGAGCTCTTCTCGACTTAGCTTGTTGGCTCACGAGCAGGTTCTATCTGTCTACTAATAGTCATTTCTATACATTTTTTTGATGAGCTACCGCTGCATCTTCCTCAGGCCATTAGTATTTTCTCCGGTGAGCTCCTGCAAAAATTGAATTTTTAGTTTGTGCTCGCTGAGAGCTTTTTTCTACTGTTTTGGGGCTTATTTTGAGAGCTTTACCTACTATTTCGAAGCAACTTGGTGAGCTGAATTGAGGCAATCTATGCACTGTTTTGGAGGCATTAAAGGTAACATTTTGAGGTCGTTCTATGCATTGTTTTGCAAAGGGTTATGTTGTCTTTAAGCATTGATTTATGCAAGGTTTATTGGATTTAAGAAGCCCTTTTGTCCACTGTTTTAGGTTTCATTTGATTATTATTTAAATGCTCTTAGGCTGTTTAACTTGTTTTTTTCTCATTTGGCTTTACTAGTTTTGGAAGTGGGTCGGACTCATCTTTTCTCTTGTTTTATTTTTCTTGATAAAATGATTAAGTTGAAAAGTGGGAGTTTCTAATTTAATTATTTGGAAGACACTTAAAATTTTGAGGAATAGTTGAAAAATACTTAATTAAGGGTAAAACACCTTAAATCACTTTAAACACAAGTTAAAGTATATACTTTCTAGATTTTAGGAGTACACCATTTTCATCTACCTAATTCTAAGTGTAGGCTTCCTAGATTTTAGGAGCACACTCTAGGTGAGAGTTCATCTACCTAATTTTTTTTTTAGTGTAGACTTCCTAAATTTTAGGAGCACACCCTAGGTGAGCGTTCACCTACCTAATTTGCGCATGAATAATGAAACTAGATACTTGACCCTGATTCACAAACTGATTAAGACACTAGACATGAGAATGCACCGAGACGTAGTTCATGCTTCCTTAAGTATATCAATAGTGGAATTCCCGTAATGACTTAAAATATAGTGAAACATAGTGCACCGGGATTTGAGTTTAAACATTACACTCAAATTTTTCTGGCAATTGGGGAAATTTGTTAATGTCACATATGGATCACCGAACTAGGATAAGTCTAGGGTCTAGGTGAGGAGGGCAATGACGATATTGTTTATGTTTGCTTAAAAAAAAGATACGAAGTGGGATTATTAGAATAGTATCTCATACCTCAAAGATTTTTAATAAGGGAGAGGAAATTATCGATGATACTATTCGTCGATTATTGGTGGGATCGTTGCCCCCGACGCTCCCGACTCTCTTAGGTTGTCAGTAGTTCTAGCACGATCAAAGTGACTAGCCTGTGGACTACACAATTTTACAAAATATTTACAAATATAAAATAAAATTTTCTTTTGCATATTAAAAAGAACTTTGTATTAAAAAGACTTAAACAACAGCTTTTGTATGAAAATCAAAGAATTTTTCTATGAAAATTTATAAAGGTCCACGGCCAATCACTTGGATTAAGGTTAAGAACTGCTCTCTGTAGATTGTCGGGTTGATAACTCTTGTTTAAGATCAGGAAGCACACAGTCCAGCTCTGAGCCCCCACTTCTACCAATGTCTTACACCCAGTCCTGGTCTTTCATATGTGGCTAAGGGTTTTCTTTGCTCGTGATTTCCAAAATTTGTTTTTCTGACTTTCGTGCTGGGTTTTATCACCTTGTTTATTTATCTTGCAATTTTATTTAAATCTGCTGCAAATCATACTATGCTCGCAATATTAATCACGCAACAGTAGCAGATACCTAGATACACTTTTACAATTTATTTACAACATTTTACTTTTCAAATGTCTTTTATTTACTTGTAATCTATTTATTTTGCATGCAAAACAAGGACTGAAACCGAAAGAAAAAAACATAACCAAACTTTGACAACAAAGCTGTGAAACATAAACCACCAATCTCAAACACTTAAACCCTGGAGCCATCGCTACAACAAGAGCTTGGAGCTAACTTTGTGGGCAACACGACGAGGAGCTTGGATCGAGCGACAAGAGGATCTTCTTCAGCATTATCTCTTCCAAGCATAATAACAACTCATAGGATTTCGAGGTAGCTCGCCCGACGCAATGTAAATTCTCACCTTCTTTTAGGCTCTTGCACAGTCATACTTAGTAGTATAAGTCCTAACTCGTCTTAGGTTCCAAGGTTGTCTTCTAAAACGACGTAAAACCTCTTATCTGCAGACTATTTGCATAACCAGTTATTATGCAAGTGTAAGTCCCAAACAAATAAAATTGACATGATTGAACACCTAAATAACATCGTCTCTAAAACTCAACCACAATTTGAATAGTTTGGGAAGTCACTGAGGGTTCTCCTCAGGACCTGTGACATCCCCTACCTTTTTCTTTCTTTGGACTCCTGAAAATAATTGTTCATATTTGAGTCACTCCCACTTGCTTTTTCATGTCATACCGTGAAAACTTAAACTTTGAATTCTTGAAGATTAGTACATCTAATCATTATCGAGTTTTCTCAAGTGACCCCGGTCATTCGAGATGTAATTAACTATAGGGGCTTGCCTCTATAGAAAACTTGGAACCCAGGTAAAATAAACTTTATCTAATTTTTATATTAGGTAGGAGAACTTGTCGGTCAAATATAAAATGTTTGCAGACCAAACATATGTCATAAATCTCTTAGTTTGCAGGATTGAGTCCATCGACGAGATATACACTTATCTTTCGGGAAAGTGCAATATTCGCGGTATCAGACATGATTATGCAAATTACTGGACGAATGAGATTTATTTGGTAGCATTGTTCAAAAACTAAAACACACTACTTTCAAAACTATATATATATATATATACCTCTTATTATATTATATTAAATTTCAAAATTATTTTCATTATTTTCAGAAATCAAATCCAAAAAAGTAGCCACTACGAGCCGTGTTCGAGCTCGTCATTTGAGTTCAACTTGAGCTTGAGCTTATAATTTCGCAAACAAGTCGATCTCGATGATGGCATTGCTTGAGCTCGACACAACTTATTTACACCCCTGTGTGTGTGTGTGTTTGTGTGTGTCAAAATTTAAGGGTGAAAGAACAAAGTTGGTTTTGAAAGATTTCATATGTCTAACTTCTTTTAATAAATGGATTAATGTGGTTGTTATGGAAGCATAATTATAGGAGAAAAAATAAATCCATCTAAAATTGAACCATGATGAATTTATAAATAATTGGTTTTATTTTGGGATGAAAATAGTTATATAATATATAATCACAACTCTTATATTGCACATAAAGACACGACTTCAAATAAAAATTCAATGAATTTGAAACACACGATAAATGAAATTTGATGAGAATATTTTGATCAATTTTTTTTCATAATTATAATTTGTCTCATGAGCTATTAAAACAGTTTTTTGATTGCATGTGTATTATTAGTTAAGAAAATAATCAAAACTTGATCAAAATACAAAAAAGCAATTAATATTATAGAATTATTATATTAAAAAATAATATATAATTAATTTTCACAGTTTTTTTTTTTTCTTTTTGTTTTTTTTAGACATTTTTTTTGATAAATAACTACTAAAACCGACAACCTAAAACACAAACGAAATTATAAGATGTGATAAGTAGTTTTAAATTCAATTTATTCATCGTTCTAAGCTCGTTAATACACATATTTAACAATATTATTAAGACATAATATAGGGAATTAATAAACCTCATAAAAGCTAAATTGATAACAGCTAACCATTATTTTCTAACCACATAACTGTTGGGCATGGTTTTTACTGTGGGCGCATTTACGTGCATGGCACCCAATTATACCATGTATTTACATGCCAAACCTGAAATTTCATATTTACGCACGCATCATATATAAAAATAGTGCTATTATCATTTTTTTTAAAGTGGAATACACATTTTCATGCATAGGATTAAAGAACCAAAGAGTTATGCATGTAAATATAAAAAGTTATGTGTGAGAGGAATGTAATTACATAAGAATTATGTGCTAGGTATGTAAATTTTTCTTTTACTTTTTATCTTTTTATGCTAAGAATTGTTTACATTACATAAGTAAAGGTAACATTAGTGCTATTATAAGTTATAATAATAAATTTAAATAAGTATAATATAAAGGGATTTTTACTTGGTAAACTCCTAAAACTTTTAATATAACAAACTAGCCACCCTTTTTCCCTTATATCTCACGCTAGCCACCCAAAACCCTTTAAATCCTCATCTTCACCCCTCCCAACGGACGCCGCTCTCGCACGTCTCGCTCCATCTCCTCCTGCCACCTGTCGTTGATCATTACCGTCTTCAACCATCACCTTCCCTTGCTCTTTCCCGCGCTTGATCGCAACCTTGAGTTGTGAATACAACAGTAAGTCCTGAAAGTCCTCCCCCCTTTCGGCCTCCTCTTGAGTTGTAAAAAATCCTCGTACCTCCACACACCCATGGATGAGTTCAAGGGTTTCACCAGTGGGAACATCGTAGGTTTCGTTCTAAGGTTTCGGGCTTTGTTGTGGTGCAACTAAAGACAAGGTTATTTGTGCCCCTTTCTCTTAGAGTTTGCAGAAACTTTGATCTTTCTTTCCCCATTCTTTGAGATTTTGTTAGAACTTTCATCTTTCTCCCCCTTTCTCTTATAGCCAAAATTTATGCAACAGAAATTGATTTTTCATTTATGTTGGAAATTTACAAGGGTAGCACCCAATTCTTATGCAATTACATATTTCACACATAAGTCTAATTTTTTGCTTTGTAGTCTTTACATATATCTTATGCAATTACATATGTGATCCATTTTGTGCTCATGACGGCTAAATGCATTTATCTACCGTGCATTTAAGGCATGATGATAAAGAAATATGGCTACAGTATGATTGTCCTGTGCTTCGTTAGGTTTTAGGGTATATTACATGTAAATGCATAAGATATATGTAATTGCATAAGATATATATAATTGCATAAGATACATGCAATTAAATATGTAATTACATATTTATGTTGGTTCACTGTCTCTGAACCGAATTGTAAATTCCTTTAGTTAGAAACGTAGATGTTGCATATGGTTTAACATTTATGATTTTGTAATGAATGTAAGGCATGCTTTCATGAGTTTATTTTTATGTATTGATGTGGGATGAATTTGCATTAGTTAGAAATTGAGTTATTTGCATATTGTTGAGCATTTTACTTATATGTAATAAATGTAAGACATGTTGTCATGAGTTTCTTTCAAAAATTCTTGATACGTCACCAACAAATTTTTATCAGCCAGCAAGAATCTCGGTGCAATTTTTAAACAAGAAATATTCAAATTTTGATTAAGAGTCAACAAGAGCTCCGATTTCAGCAAACTTATAGTCAAACTGATCGGCTCGATGAGACGGACCTAATAATACAAAAGTCAGTCCAATCCGAGTCAAATCAAGCCCAGATCAAATCATTAAATCATTCTTGGAGGATTTCCGGAGGCGTTGAAAGATCAAACATATGTCGAATCTAACGAGTTTATAGTCGAATCGAGCATCTCAACAAGACGAATCCAACAAGCCCAAGATTAGTCAATTCTGACATCGTTAAGGCACTCAAATGTCCATCAAACGTCATTTCATCAAGGGAAGCTCTTCAGACTGTCCGATCAAAATAGTTCATATTCATGCATTAATTGCACTCAAAACACTATAAATAGAGCCTCACCCCTCACATGAGAGCGGGAGGCTTGAGAGAGAACTTGAGGCTTTGAGAAAGAGCTCAAGTCCAACATCATCCCAACCACCGCCGACCTCTATCGACCACCGCCGACCACCGTTGATCGTCGTCGATCACCGCTGACCTTCGTCGACCACCGCCGTCCGTCATTGACTGTCGTCAGCCACCACTGACCTCCGTCGACCATCATACATTGTCGTCGACTACCATCAATCACTGCTAACCTCTGTCAACCACCGCTGACTAGACGTCATCAGTCAACATTGTAACTTAGAAAGCTAGTAACCCTTTCCCGCCTGTGGGACAAGGGGCATTTGTAATCATCAACTTATAGTGGATTTTTACAACTGGGCCAGACCCCGTGGTTTTTCCCCTTTATGGGTTTTCCACGTAAAAACTTCTAGTGTTATCACAGCTTGATTCATTTTCATCTGAGTGTGTGTGCTGAATCCTCACGCAACGGTAAGATGATAATCCATCACTCTACCGCCGCGAATTTTCTAGCACGCATCAATTCTAATAAAGAAATATTGCTTTTAATAATCAAATCTTTTAAAATATTGTAGATAAGAAGCTGTTGTCTAAAATAAAATACTTCAAGTCCATGCTACAAAAATAATAATTTAATGATAATAACTTACAATTAACTTTATAATGCAGGGCAGCTTTCTTATTATTTATCAATCAAATAACCATTAAAGTCCTTGATCATCACATATTTATTATCTCTTAAATAGCTATGATAACTAATTTCTTATGACTTCTTTATTTTTTCATAATTTTGTTGATAAAAAAATAAATTTTAATAACCAATTTTATATGTAATAGCACTTGAAAGGAAGTATACTCTAAATAAAGTATAAATACTCTAATTTTTCACATAAAAAAGTAAACCTACACTTGATGAGAATCGAATGCCAAAAATCATTAGCAATCATCAATCATCACCATCAACAATTATAGACTGTTTCGATCAGATTATTATCTCCAGATAATTATTGTTGAACTGAATTGCTTTAAATTGGTGAAGCCAAGTTCTTGATCTTTTCTCTTATGGGTTTTTCACGCATAGAGTTTTGTTATCTTTTATCACTAATGTTTATGTGTGTACTAATATTTCAACTATTGTTAAGACTTAGTTTTTGTCTGTTGTTAAGAATTGTCAATCACAACAATTTAAATCTTAATATATATGAACAAATTTGTCCTGCAGATTAGCTCTATTTGAAATGACAGGATTGCTAGTTTATTTAAAATGAGACCAAATTGTGTCAATAAAGCACAGCTTGCTTCATTATGTGGTACCAAATTGTACAACGCAAGAACAACTTAAACTTATTCTTTCCATACTAATTACTAGCCTCATTTACTTAAAAGATTTTTTAAAAGCTGTGCATAAATTCTTTTCATGGTTTCTACAGTTAATGCATTATTAAAATGTAATTTAATAAAATATTTCTCATTTATCTCTCTTTCACCCATTTTCTTCATTTCAATCAATTTAATTTTTATAATTTTTATATTTTTTTATAATGATAGTTTTTTTTAATAAAAATATTACATTTATTTTTGAAAATGTAATCCTAAAAGAAAAAATTGTTTTGAAATTATAAATTTTTTTTCATAAAAATATACTATATCGGTTTAATTTAATATTAAATTTTATTAAGTTTTAGTTTAATTAAAATTAAAAAAGATTTAATTAAATTAATATTATATCATATTTTTATTAAATAATTTGAGCATTATTATTTTAGTTTAGGTTAGTTTATTTAATTTAATTTTTTACTAAACAATACGTTTAATTAATCGTCCAAAATTCATGTTAAACCTCCAAACCATATATATATATATATATATAACGCGACACACATAAATGCCTTTGCTCAGTTGTTCAAAAAATTACCTGAGTGCTTGATTTATAAATAGAAATGTTTCTCATGATCTGTATGTAATTATCTCAATAAATATTTTTGTTAAATTTTTATTAATATAATGTATACTATTTAGAAAAAAAATAATCTATATCTCTCTAAATAAAATATATGAACAAAATAAAATCAATAACAAAAAAAACACACTGCATACATATTGCTTAAAACATAATATAATACATCTTCTAAAATAGCACTAAAGTTTTTGTATGTGTGGTCGTGGTATGACTTCAGTTCTTGGTGCATAATGATCAAAAGCTCTAAATGGCCACTCTCGCAAATGATGTTCTCGTGCGAACTCATCAACATTATCTCCTACATCATGTGGCGTATGATTATCTAATTAAACTTGTAGGGTAGGCCTCTCAATATATGTTGTTTAATAAAATTTTAATATAAAATAAATTTAATTCAATATTTTTTTATCTTAATTAAACTAAAATTTAATTGATAGATTATATATTTATGAAAAAAATTTCATAACTTAAAAATTATTTTTCCTTTTAGAATTAACTTCTTAAAAATAAATATACTATTTTTATTAAAAAGTTAATAAAAAAATATAAAAATAAATAGAGTAAAATGAAGAAAATATGAGAGAGAGAAGAAATGAGGAAAATTTTATTGAATGAGACTTTAAATATGCCCTGTTTCATTGATTTATTCAACTCAGCACGAGTCAAGACGCAAAAGAATTGTCCATCGCGAAGGGGTCAGCCATGGCGGATCATAACCTAACCGCAAACTTTGACGCCTCCCTTTCCCGTTTTCCAATACTCCTAAATTCCACGCCGCCATCCGTCTAATTCCACTCGCATGAAAGCAAGCAAAGGCGTGCGCTATCTAAATATATGTTAAGTTTATCATTTCATATTAATTTTTCCCGGTCATTAATTGACCGGGGCGGAACGGAACAAGAGCGGGAGAAAAAAATGTCAAAGCCACGAGAAGATAAAAATTGCTTTTTTATCTAATTTATACACTATTGAGAGCAACCAAAAGGTGCTTTAAACATCTTCGATCGATTGCTAATCAGTCGATTTGCTTAATTTTGATCATCAGCTATTCAAGTTTTTGGGATTCTTAACCCTAATTTGATCTTTGACCAGTCTCCTCCGTCCGTCGTGGCGGCTCCAGAGAAGCTGTCCCGAGCTCGCAGTACGAATATGATTAATTTATCTTCTCGTTTTCTGAAATATATCATCATGTTTTATCAAATTTGATTTTTTTATTCATATTCCGATTGCTTAATTCAAGATTAGGTAACGATACGATGCTTGGCCAGTTACTGTGTTCAGTACTATTCAAAGTTTGATTCAGTACTATTTCCTGATGGATTAAATCGGTCTTACAACTAAGCTCTTGTTGGAGGAGGGAGGTTATTATCGTTAAATCTTGGTGTGATTCAATGGCGGCAGAGCTCTTGCGGCTCGAGAGCACTAGATTGTATGGAAGCAGTAATCCAGGGTGTATTTGGGGATTATTTCATATATTCGACTCCTACCATAGGCGTGAGAACAAGAGAATGCTTTCATACAAGAGGCTCGCTGAAGGTAGCTCATCTATTTATCTACCCTTCTTTTCCTGTTTTAATTTTCTGTTTTGAAGAAGCTATATTTAGATGCATGGTTTGACTGTGCAAAATATTGGCATCCATTAACCTTATTTTATGATGTTGTTCCAGAAAAAAAATTACTTTACAAGTTATGTCGGGTAAGACAGTAGAGTCAAGTTCTTTGTATTGAGAAACTCTTTTCTTAATTTTTTTGACAGAGAGCGCAGGATTGATGAGTTTATACTTGCTATAACTAAGTTTCCCCTCTAGTTTTTGTTGTTCTCTTGGTGATTCTGCTATGGGACGTCCCTTTCTAAGTAGCCTTTACAGTTCTAATGTGATTAATCTAGTTTTTTTCTGGTTTTAACTTTGTAAATGTCTTTTGATGTACGTGTATTCAAGTCTGAAACCTTCATCGAATATCACTTTTTTCATATATATTATTAGTAAAGCCAGCTGCTCAAAAATAAATGGTGCATGCCTTTTAATCCATAATATTTTGACTTTTGTTTCCTTTTTTAATTCTTTAATTTTTACCAGTGGCATAGAGCTTTAATTTTCCATTAATATGTCATAGTTATGAGGTTATTGAAATCTAGTTGTCATATCTTCTGTGTAGGAACTGATATTCTCATGGCGAATGAAACCGGAGTAGAAGACACTGTTGCAAACAAAGAAGAAAAAGCCATAGTGAGCACAGAAATCCCATTCTTCTTGCTAAAAGTTGTAAATTTTTTTCAAAAATTTTAGACATATTGCTCCAAAAATAATTTTATTTCTTACAAACAATGGTCTGGCCACCTCTTTATCTCATTTTAAAATAAGAAAAAAAAAATATTGGAGGGTAAAGTCTTCAGGGCAATTGACAGTGAATTCTCCAAAATATTTTCTTTCTTCTTGATGTCTACTTTGTTTTGCTCATCTACGAGAATGAGAATTTGATGACTTGCCTGATTGATGCCATATTTCTCCATGTATTTATGATTTTCTTAATTTTATATCAGGTGGAAAGTAAAGGCAATAACATGAAAAAAAGTTCTAGGAAGACGCGCATTCTGAATTTTATTGGTAGAAACTTGTTGAAGCGGCAAAAACATAGGGAAAAAAAGCCCCATTCATCATCTCAATTAACGCGCGCTACCTCTGTCCATCACATAGAAAGGAATGATTTGGTAACCGTTGCTGAATTAAGTCAAATCACTTCAGATAGTGAGACTTCAACCATTGCACTCGATTTTGATGACACTGGTTCTTTATCAATGAATGAACATGAATCACTCGTAGCTAATGAGCTTCATGTGCCTGTTGAGGGGAATCATAGAGCACTTCGGGCCTTAAATTCTACTGGCTTTGATATTCATTGTAAATCGCATGAGCTTGATGAACTGGGAAATCATTTACTGGATGAACATAAAATTCTCAAGGAAAAACTACTCGAGGCAAGGGATGCTCTCCTAAAGCAGAAAGATTCAGATGCTGCAGGCATAAAAATGGAATTTTCACTGCTCTCAAAAATCTTTCTTGATACATTACATCTATTCAATACCAATAGAGAAGCTCTTGATAATGTGTGTAAAGGCCAAAACTCTTTTGTGTCTGGAATTGCTGCTGGGATTCCTATTCCAAGTGATAAGGTGATGAAATTTGATAGTTTTATTAATCAGTCCGAATCAGCGGATTTACAAACTAGGACTTTTGGAGTGGTTCCTGACAGTGAAGTTTTTTCTGGTTCTCAGGAACTTAGAAAGCAAGGAGAGATTAAAACTGTTTTGAGTAGATTTGTGGAGCTGAAACAGAGACTAAAGGCAGTAATAGTGGAGAATAAAAAGGAGCACCATAGAATCTCTATGGATAGGATTCTGGATAAGGTTCCTTCTGGACATAAGCTACTGGAAGATGGGGAGGATAACGAGTTGTATCGTAGGGTTGGATTTTTCTCAAGAGGTGGCCAAAGATTCAAAATCAATAGAGTGGCACCTGGTTCTTCAACTGGAAAACTTTTTCACAATCGAGTTCAAAGATCGCGTTCGCTTACTGAATCTTTAGGTAGGTACTCTCATTTGTTGGATTCTATTTCAGGCGATGAAGTGAGAAAATCTCCCAAGAGATCAAACTCAAATAAAGAAGGTAGTGGTTTACTGCATGGGAAACTGCCAAAAACTCATCGAAGGCTGCTGTCAAATCCTGAGTTTCTTAGTTCATATTCTTTCATCAAGGATGTACAAAATGTTATGTATAATGCATTTCAATCATCAAAGGAGCCAACTTTGGCACTTCAAGACAGTGATTTTGCAACAACTGTTGCTGGTTCTGATAAGCTAAATGGATATTTAAGCTTGCAACCTGCAGTTGAAGAAACTGCTTATGAACAAGAGGGGTCCTTGGAATCCAACGTCATTACCAATCTACCAGATAAATCTGTAACCTCTACTGTAGAAACAAGCATTAACGAGACAAAGGGGTGTGAAATCATCCCCGGATCCATAAATGAGTGTCGTAAGGTTGAGCAATTCCAGTGTTCAAATATTTTGGAAGAAAAAAATGACTCTTTCAAGGAGCAGAAGTTTCAAGTTGAAGAAGAACATAATGTCAAACCTCAAAGAACAAGTCCCATCTCCGTTCTGGACCCTGATATTGAAGAGCCTGTTAGTCCTTTGAAATTTACTGTCATGGCAGGTGAGATACTAAATTTGTCCTATTTTCCCATGTAATTATCACTTATCCCGCTGCATTAGATTTTTAAATAGGCTGATTACTCAAGAAGATGTATACTTCTTTCCTTCCCAGGTTCAGATTCAGAACAGTTACACGAGAATCTTGAGGAACAACTTCCATGCCCTGAAGCTCAAAAAGTTGCTGGGTTCAATGAGCTTGATGTTGATGAGGAAACAGCTACTACAAATAGTGATCAAGCCAAGTCTTTCCTCGCTCATGCCAATGAAAAAGACACTGCCACGTTTAATTATGTGAAGCAAATATTAAGCAAATCTGGCTACGAAGCACTGTTTTGTGAGACACAAGACTTCTCTACTGAAGTTGAGGCTACAAACCACCTGTTGTGCGGCATTCTTTTGAGGAGCAGCTCATATTTGATTTGATAAATGAGGTGTTATTTGACATTTATGAATATTCTACAGCTCCAAGCTCATGGCTTTCTCGCTTCCATTCTAAGATCAGATCAATGCCTGCAGGAAGCCATCTGCTTGAGGAAGTGTGGGAAGAGATCACATGGCATCTCTCTTCACCACAAGGGATGGACGCCATGATTGATCAGATGTTGGCTCGAAATTTTACTAAAACTGATGGCTGGATGAACCTTTATCGTGATGCCGAGTGCTTTGGATTGCTACTGGAGCAACTGATATTGGATGATTTAGTTGATGAAGCTTTTTTTTATGCTGATGAGTTTTGAAGTTTTTGGCATGTTTTTATGCAATTTTTTTTTGCATTGTAGATAGATTTAAATCTTTTTCTTCCCTGCTTTTGTATCATGTTTCATTTTTGTTTGCAGATTTTTTTCGTGTGTCTTTTGTGCTACATTTTGGAGGAAGTCATGTAAAAATTGTGTAAAGTTTTGTTTTGTACAGTATGGATGAATAAAACAGTTACCTTGGATATAGCATTTTGTGCGCAGAACGAGCTATAATCACCATGGTAGTTAAGATGGTTCTAAAAAATGGATATCAAAACAGAAGAACAAAAAGATTCAAGATTCGAAAGTTGAATGGATGATATAATAAGCATTAATATGAGACATCATGTTTTTTCATGATACTTGATTTAATGGTACTTCTCTAAAAGAATTTTATGGAGATATTATTTTCTCATGGTTTAATTTTCCTCTTAATACTCTTCTTAGAGATGTTATTATTGATGATTGAAATTTAGATATTTTAAGCAATGCTCCTATTAATTGTTTAAACAACATAACTTCTATTCCCATTATTAATGGTGATTCTTGTTTATGGGATCAAGTTAGTTCTTATTCTCATAATTCTATTTATATGTCTTTATACAATCATTTGCCTTGCATAGATTGGTTTAAGCTTGTTTGGGTTAAAGGACATTTTAGTAAATATGCTATACAATACTTGGAAATTTGTTCAGGGTGTTTTAAAGATTTGTGATATTCTTTCTCTTCGAGGTATAGTTATCAATGAAATCTGTGTTCTTTGTGGTATGGTTTTGAGACTCTCTCTCATTTTTTCTTTGAATGCACTTTCTCTCATCTTCTTAATAAGTTTTTGCCTTTAAGGTTATTTTCTATAGCTCTTAATATGTTTCACGTTCTATACCATTCTGATAACTTCTCTTGCAAATTTCAAAAAAGGTCTCATTTATTGCCTGCAGTTACTTATCATACACTATATTCATTGGTTAATCATCTATAAAAGCAGGAATTAGAATTTTAAAAGAAATGTTCCTAATTGTATCTTTAACTTTTATAACCTTTGAAGTTTATTTCATTTTTTTTTTTTGGGGGTTTTGTTTTCTGTTATAGTCTGTTATAGTTGTTTTCCCTTGTTGTGCTTTCCTGGTGGTTGAGTTTGGTTATTTTTTTTCTTTTTATGTTGTGTTTACTTTAGTTTGTTTTGGTGCTTTGTTATTTCCTGTCTTTTTTATAATTCAACCAAATATTGATTATATTTTAATATATTCATATTTTTGGATGGAATTTTATTTGGAATTTAACCAAAAATTGAATATATTTTTTATAATCATTATTTTGGATGGAATTTATTGGTTTCCTGTTGTTTGGTGTTGTCTTTGAATTATTTGGGTTTTGTTTTTGTTCTTTGTTGGTTGTGTTATTTTTTTGTTTCTGATGGAGCTTGTATTGTTTTTGTTGGCTTTTGGTTTCTTTTTGATTTTGTTATTGATTTTTTGCTTTGTTGCTGGTTTAATAGCTTGGTGTTATGTTGTTGCTGTTTGGGTTTGTTTTGGTGATTTCTAATGTCTGTTTCTAGTGGCTTTGGGCTATTTGTTCCTTGCGGCTTTTGTTGATAATTTATTATATTCATTTTCAAGATAAAATTTTAATATTTTTTGCAGGGAAGTTTTGAGCTCTTGATGGTTCTTGCTTTCAACTTTCTTTTGTAGTCTTTGTTTAGTTTCTCTAGTTTTCTTTTGCTCCTTTTTGGGTTTTTAGCTACTACTCTCTTGTTTATTTTCCTTAGCAGGGGTTGGTGTTGTTTCTAACTAATTAGGTTGAAGTTCAATTCTTTGAATGCTATGATTTTGCTGGAGGCTGTGTTCGTTCTGGAGGATTGGGTTCTCTTTCTAGTGGTGTTGTTGGTTTTTACTTAGTTGTTGTCTCCTACAGCCTGCTGTTAGTTGTTAGGTTTCTTCTTGGGTTTTTTTTTTTTGTTTGGTAGCTTTTTATTGCTTTGAGTTGTAGTGTATGTTTTTTTCTTTCAGAGGAGTTGTATTCTGGGTTTTCATTCTGTTTCTATTTTCTTTCCTAATATAGCTTAGAAGTGGCCCTCATTTTTCTTCAAAAAAAAAAAAAAGAAAGATTTGGATGGTAAAAGTGTCAAAACAAAGTGTTAAGTGTTGGTGATGCAAATACATGAGAATTGGGATGTGTATGTAAAAAGCACTAAATATAACAATTTTAAAACTGTTTTTGTCTCAAAAGTTTCTCCAATGTGTGGGGAAATACCTTTTCAACCTGAACTGGTACTTTACCTCCAACATCACTTGTTTCGTAAGATTAAGATAATAATTTAATTCGGTCTATCTTTTTCTATTTGAATTAAATCGATTAGAATCTTTGTTCAAATTTCTATAAATTTAAAATTTTATTGAAGGATAAAGACAAGGAGATTTATATGCATACCACTTAATTCCTATGCATTTAACTATCTAACACCTAAACTGTGGATCCCCTGTTTCAGGGCAATCCGGACAATGAGAGGCTCCAAATTTCTCACCTCTAGCATTTACTTTTGGAAACGAGTGATGGAAGTTCATAGGCTCTCGTTCTATCCTTGTCTTATCTGAAGCAATGTCTTTGCATCATTCCTTAGTTTCTGTGTGTTAGCAAAGTGTGTGCCATGAAGAGGTTTCAGAATTCGAAGAACGAGGGATGACTCCATCTGGTAGGATATTAAACCGTCTGAGTGCGACTTCTTTCAGTGTGATAAGGAATAGCCGACATTTTATGAATTCATCGATCTATAGGACTCCGACTGTCGACTCAAAGGAAGCGAGGTGATCGGTCGATCACTCTTTCATGTGTAGGAGTCGAAGTTTCGTCAGCGGTATTGTTTTCAGGATCCTTTGGAAGAAGGCGTTGCCCATAACCAACCGAGCGAACATTCCCACTCGATCCATCTAATGTGGGACCGCAGGCATAGAAGTGAGATTCTCTTGGTCCCTCGGTTAGTCGGTCGTCGGACCAACAGTGGTGTGTTGGCGTATGGTCAAAGAGAGCCCTCTGAGGCGTTTTCCTCTAGACTCTCCCTCCATGGGGGTGGTCGGGTGTTTTGCAAGATTATGAGTCCCCGAAAAGTCTCAAATTGAGCTATTATTTGTATTCACAATGCTTGAACATCTTTCTGTATGTCTCGATGCACCGTCCCTCTATTGAACTCCATATGTGTTATTTTTTTTTGTAGTGATTCGCCTTAGTAGTTGGCTCCACTTTTTGTCTAGGGCATATCCATGCTCACCACACTACCTTGAGGATGTTGAATTCTAATTGTCTTTTGTGAACACATTTCGAGAGTTAGAGCCCCGAGAAGAAGGAATAGGAAGAGTGTGTGTGTAATTAGGCAAATTCCTACAGTAAAGCCAAAGAAAAGTCCCTTATTAGTTTTTTGTCTCCAATTTATATGTGTATTCCTACGATTACAGAAAAAAAATAATGATTATATAAACCGCCCTTAATGTGATTAATTGTGCTAATTTTATAACAAATTTGTCTTACTATTTGAATTTTGAATATTGAGATAACCGACTTGTTGACGCATTTTAATTCGATTAACCGGGGCAACCGATCGGATTGCGGTCGCGCCTGTCGAAAAGAAGAATCGGCCAATCAAATAGCTATGGTTGGGTCTGTTCTGTCGATTGGGTCACTCACCATAGTATCTTGGTTGACTCTGACAGAGTGATCGTTGAGCAAACGATCACAGTCTTTTGATATGATGTCTCAATCATCCAGCCATTATCCTTGACCGCTGGATTTTTTTTAGATTCACATCAACGTACAACATGTATATATGATGGCGTGAAGAGTTACATATAACCTTTTAAAGTTAAAAATAGTGATGTTTTTTGTTTGATGTGGAATATTTGAGTGGTATAAATGAAACAAAGGTAAAAATTAGGTGTTGGGTATATAATTGCATAAGATTATGGTGGTATGGATGAAATGCTCCGAATTAAAATTCAAAATTAAACAATTAAATATAACAATCTCAATAATTACTCCACCATCCATAAAAAAGGTTGAAAATCATTCCTTGAAATGACCGATTCTCAGCAGCTAAGAGGGGTATAAATAAGCCTCGTTCGTGTTCAACTCGTTTATATTTTGAGCTCAAAAAATGTGTTCGTGTTCGACTCGTTTGTTTAGCGAGCCAAACACAAGTCATTCATGAACAAAGAGTCATTTTGACAACCCTAATCACGTAGTCATAAGATGTTAAGAATTGAGACAATATTTACAATATTTAAAACATCATTTGA